AAAAAAGCTGTGAATGTCAGCAATCATCTTACTGATATCTTGGCTGATTTTCTCATAATACYACACAAAACAGCAGTGTGAAGCAGTTTGAGATGTGCCTTGATTTGCATCCACAGGTGAGCCTCTATTTAACTCAAACATTGTCAACTAACCATTCAAAAGCTCCCAAATGAGAGATATGACATTACGGTGGCGTGACGGCTCACTGGTTAGCACCGACGCCAAGAAGGTCCTGGATTCGATCCCCGGTTCGGACCTGGGGTCTGTATGCACAGATTTGCATGTTCTCCTCGTGCTTGCGTGGGTTTTCTCCAGGTACTCTGGTTTCCCCCACGCGCAAAAAACATGTACAATAGGTTGCCTTCAGGCCCAGGCCTCTCTTGAAAAAGAGATCTGAGATCTCAATGGGACTTGCTTGGTTAAATAGCGCTAAATAAATAAATAATWTTTTTCTGGGATTTTCCAAATTAGTAATCCTAACAACTGAAATATTTTGGAGAACCGTAACTGATCTAAAACAGGAAAGCTTTGGTCTGGTTTAATGTCAGACAGGTTCTGTGTGTTTTAAAAATGTATGTAAACTCCTGCTTTTAAATGTATTTGTAAATTAAAAAAGAGTTAAAGCCACTTTTATGATGGGTAATGTTGACTAGCTTTGGTGGCCACAAGATTTTGCTAACAGACTAAGTTAACTTCAAATAGCTAAATTTACAGTCAAGTAGCTCAGAATGTGATGGGGATCAGTCCCCAAACAATGGTTGAGATGTAAAATATTATTGTGTTTTTAAGATGAGGTGGCAGCCACCATCATCTGAGCAGCAGTAATTACGTTCCACATGTTTCAATACAATTTACACAGCACACACACAGAGACATGCAGAACTGTGATTGTTGCCCCGTTTTCATCCGTGGAGGATAAAAATGTATCAAACTATGTTGCAGTTCCATCACCCCTCCATTCTCTACACCCCCACAGTCCAATCCACAAGACTTTACAGTCCACAAGACTTTACCATCAGAATAAACAAAGTCTGTGTGTCTCTGGTTCAAATGAACACGAGGATGACACAAAGAAAGCTCTGACAGTATAACTCACACACACACACACACACACACACACACACACACACACACACACACACACACACACACTGCAGCAGAGCAGTGGTCAGTGCTGTGGGAGCCTGGGACCACATTTGTGAGTCAAGTCCATTTGGCCTTTACAATATGGGCTTGATGAAATTAAAACATGCTTTTTAAAACCTGAAAAGCATCTGTGGGTCCTGAGATAGGATGCGTCCACACAAGCAAGTCCTGATGTAGACACAGACCGTGGACCTGTGTCCACATGAGGACATGCTGACAGTGTGCATGTATTCATGTGTGGGCTGTGGGTTATGTGTGTAGATTTACATTGTTGACAGAGAATGAATGTTTCAGTTTGTCTTTGAATTTCATACGAAGGACAGTGATGGAACTGTCAGCTAATTATGAGCTGCTTATTATGAGCTAACTCCCGCTTACGGATGTAAAGCGTAAGCGGGACTCATTTTGTTTTYGTACTGTTTATTATGACCCCCGCACGCKAAGCGTAAGCGGGAGTCATATTGTTTTCATACTGTTTATTCATTTATTTTCTCCAGAAATTTTTAGTCAACCGTAGCAAAAAATTGGCTGCACCAATCAACATGGAATTTGGCAGGACTGTAGATGAGTCCGACCTACACTGCGCCAGCCAACGATTTTACGATAGACCCCATATTTGAAG